CCTGAACCTGTGGTTTTACTTGAGGCTCAGCTTCTACATCTGTAAACTGGGTGCAGCAATGCCCACATGCTGCTGTCAAGAACTGTTTGCCAGGTACCATTCTCAGTCCTGTGCCTTTGATGAAATGCCTAGCTGATGTGCTCTAGGCCACTCAAGAGGCAGTAGTGTGCAGCAGGTAAGGGGCGTGTCTACAACCAGACTCCCTGGGCTGGAGGAGTGTTGGTTCTGTCACTTACTGTGTGACACTGAGCAAGCCACTTACCTTTGTGGACTCAATTTCCCTCATCTGTCAAATGAAAGTAGTAATGTCATGAGGTGGCTGTGAGTTCTGAATAAATTACTTGCTGTAGAGTGATTAGAAGAGTGCCTGACATGTGGTAACCTGCAAGAAAAAGTATTATTATTGTGTTTATTACTCCCAAAACTTTAATTACTAGACTAACAGTGGATAAGCTTGCCAGAACATTGTAGGAATATTATGTTGGTTGTAACACTAGGAAGAAATAACAATACGGACAAGAGTAGCACTGAGGGACGAGTGTGGAAAGTGATTTGAGAAATGACTGCATTGAGTTGCTGCAATCATTAAGTCTCTTTACTGAATAAAAAGGCTCAAAAACACTCACTTTCAAATATGTTTAATGTACTTAACCCCTTGTAGAATACAGACAGAAAACGCTGTAGCCAGAAAAAACAAGGTTGTTGCAGACAGTGTTTCTAAGTTGCCTCAACTGCTTTTCCAGATACTAGGAACTCTGAGTAACACTAGAGAGCACCCACTGAGACAGGTCAGGAGGTCCCCTGGCCTCTGCTGGTCTGAAGAAACCCCTGACTGCTTGGCTTAGGCCCACCTAAAAGTCCCAGGAAGGTCGGAAAGGCCATTCCTAACCTAGGATTTTAAGAGAAAAATCCACTCTACCATCAGCTGCACATCTTCAAGTTAACCTGAGGATATATTACTGTGGGACTTAGTCTATTCTGATGAGTAATGTAGGCAGCTGGAAACACCGATGCTCAGCATTTCTATTGCCCCAGGCACCGCAGAGCTTGGCATTCTAACATAAACACAAATACACAGGCATTTGGAAAGAGAGAGTATCCAAATATGCAAAAGTGCTGGTGTTCTACAGACCTGGGATCCTGTCCACAGAGTAGGGGGGTTGGAAATGTCTGAGTCACAGGGGGATGTGTTCTGATACACAAGTACTCTGGGATTCATCTCTATTGGGAGATAGGTGAAGACCCTCTTATATGAATTTGGCTGTAGAGACAAATTATCTTGATGACTCAGAAATCACACTAAATCAGGAGGCACAAGTTTACTCCACTCATGCACTTTCTGTTATCACTTATCTCTTAGGAAGGTAAATTCCACAGTGTCTTCCAATTTTGCAAAGGAAAAAGTTGTTAAAAGGAAAGGGAAGGTGTCGTTTCCTCCTGTGAAACTGCTCCCTAGCCAGTAGCATACTCTGGGCTGCTCTGAGCCCAATTCACCTCCAAACGCAGATTGGAAAGGCTGCATGAAGGCCATGTCAGGAGACGGAGAGCGATGCCATGACCGGAGAAAAGCCATTCCTTCCAAAGGAAAACCACAGTGGCTGAGCTGACTCAGCATGCCATAGAGAGGGCTGGGCAGGGTTGAGAAGACAGATATTTGTGCAGCACATGCTTGAAAGTGAATTCACAGGCCTCTGGGGTGAAATAGACCCATTAAAGCTGCCCTCCCACTACAGAGAGAAAAAGCTCACTGATACACTCCCAGGATGTCACTTTGAAACTTCATTTTCCATTCAGCAGGGGACTTGGGTTCTTTACCCACTTAGGATAGGGCTATTCTTATGGTCTCCAGTAAAGTATCCAGAACTCTGGACTTGGTCTTTATGAGTAAAGTGAACTTGATAGACAATGAGGGAAGGGAAAAATCCTATTTATTGCATATCGAGTGTGTGTCAAGAACTTCATGTCTTTTATCACATTTAAATTCTATAAGAGCCATATAGCACATCTTCATTTTATCTGAGGGAATGAGTCTCTGAGAGGTTAAGTAATTTGCCCAATGTCAAAAAAAAAAAAAAAAAGCACCTGGTCATTGGAGGTGCTGGGATTCAAACCAGGCGTAAGTCCAAAGCCATGCCATTTCTTCTGGACTCTTTCCAATGACAAAGCATTGGAGGCACTGCACTTCTTTCCTACTGCAGCACCTCTACTGTGCATTAATAAATGCATTGAAGACCAGTCCAAGGCCGTGGCTTAATTTATGCATACATATGAGTTTAAAGTTAATGAACCTGGGCATTTGTATCTCAAGGAAAAGGAGAAAAATTGTCACAACCGGTTTCCAATATTTCTCCCTAGCCACCCTCCATTCCTTCTTATAGCAGACAAGTTGGAGTGTCATTTCCATTTTGTTTTTTCATTAGACAATTATCCTTTCATCTGACAGTCTGAAACTCAATGCTGTCCTTGTGGGAGTCATTAACAGAAATCTTACTTTGTTGGGGGGTGCACATGCCAACGTATTTACCCACAGTGCATTCTGTGAGATACATGTTCCTTGTGCTGATTGGAGAATTCAGAGTAATGCCCAGGCCCAAGGGAGCTTTGTATTTCGGTGAGCATGACAATTATAAAGCTTATGGGCACTGGTTTTCCCACTTCTCCTCAGGTGCTGGAGACTAAGGGGTGAAGTCCCCTAAATGTACCTCTGTTACTCGGTGTGGGTAGTGATCAGACAGCCATGGTTGCCTTCTGAAAAGTGGAGTCCCAAACCTCCTCCCCATCTCCAGTCATAAGAGGCACTGCTAGTGATAACCGGGTAGGCACATTCGCCTTCCTGGTCTTCAGAGGAAGCAGGACAAGAGGGATGGGGGGCACTGTTCACTCCTGGAATGACACACATGTAGGCAGATGTTTGGGTCCTCAATGCACAGCCAGCAGCCCTCTCTGGACACACAGGGCATGGGTTCTCTGCCTCCTAACTGACTGATACACTCATTCTGCCAACTTTACAAAGGGATATACTAGTGTCCCATGCAGGGCTGCAAAGTCTAGAAAAGTCCAAACAATTTTTCTCTTTGAGAATGGTTATTTTCCCTCTGAAATGAGGATCCAGTTTTCTTCATCCAAGGGTGTAAGTGAATTTCCTGTTTCTTTAACCGATCCCCATGCAGAGGTCCCTTCAGGTGTAGACTGGGATCCAGGAAATACCCTTGAACTGTGGTCATGAGATGGCGGCAGATGAGCAGCCACCCACAAGTAGTGGGATAATAATTTTCTCAAGTCCATCCTGTTCAGTCCTTTACAGATTCAATTCTACCAAACTCAGGAGCTGTGGATGTGCATGAGCACAGTGACTCTTCTCAAATAGCTTCCCCAGAGACAACTCTCTGAGTACCTTATGACCTCTGATGATAACTTCAGCTAAATGCTACTACTGTATAGCCACTTGGTGGCTCCATGCAGGGGCTTGGAGAACCAAGAAGGGATGTTCCACCCTGACCCTCGTGAAGATGGAACTAGGGAAGGTTAAGTTGGGAGGCTAAGACGAGACTTTCACTCACTCTAACTCATCATCCTGCTATTTTGCATCCACTTTTGTTTGTACCACACTGTCCCTCAGACACATAAAACATGGACAAAGTAAAGGCTTCTTCTTTCTTTCCACAAATAACCCAAGACAAATACATATATACATAAGTTTACACCCTTCCTAAAAGTTTAAAAATGTTTAAAATGAATTTAAAACAGCACACACAGGCATAAACCATAAAGGCTAACTGAAAATAAAGACCAATGACAAGAAGCATTTCATCAGGACCTGAGCTAATGGTTCCAGCCGGATAGCCAAGGGAAGAAGGAAGTGTGATGGGTTCCCAGGTATGAAAGAAAATAGGTGGGTTTGCGTTTAGAGACAAACTTTTCCCTCCTACTGGATTTAGGGTAGAATGTGTGTCATGGTTCCTTATGTAAGAGGCACGTAGCACAGTGCTTATGTAAGGGGTTTCTATGAGGGATGTGACTGCAGTTTTGCAAAAGATGCAGATAGGACACACTGTAGACAACAGACAGCAGAGGTGGAACTCTTATTCTGGGATGAAGGCATGAGCATTCTTGCATTTCATCCCAGCAGAAGCTGACCCATTCCTGCACAGGCACAGGCTGTGGACATGCTTGGGGAAAACGAAGTTCATCTTTAAAAAAGGAAGCTTTGGTCCTGGCCAGCGAGCTCAGTTGGTTGGAATGTTGTCCTATTACACTGCAGTTGTGGGTTTGATCTCCGGCTAGGGCACATACAGGAATCAACCGATGAATGCATAAGTAAGTGGAGGAACAAATCGATCTCTTTCCTTTTCTCTCTCTCTATCTTCCTCCTTCCCCCCACCTCTAGAAAAAAATCAATAAATAAAAAAGGAAGCTTTGGATTCTTTTTAACATATCAGCATCTACTATGTGTCAGGTATAGAGCCAGCCATTTTATAAAGTGCATCATGAAGCAACACACTGCACTGATGAGATGATGGGCTTACAGTCAGGTTTAGGTCCTTCCCCATGTGACTGTGAATAAATTACTTAAATAGTTCGCTGCCTCAGTTCCCACATCTCTAGCATGGGGTCAATATTAACTTCCTGAAGGTGTCATTATAAGGATAAAGTGAGAGAAAAAATGTACAAAAGGTATGCAGCTCAATGAGTCTCTTTCTCCTTTTCTGTTTGCCCATACAACCATGAGATCATCTGTGAGTAGGACCATATAGATACAGACACTGACTTGGGAAAAATGAAGCAATCTGTGTAGATATGCAGCTGGAAGCTCCAGAGTCATGGTTTAAAAGCAGGATAGTCTCATTTAAAATCTGATGCTCTTCCCACCTAATCTTCTAATTAGTTTATACTTAAGTCTATACCATTTATACAGGAAGTGACTGTTTCAGCTCGAACGATTCAAGCCTGAATCACTCCCAGTAAGAGATAAGGGGCCAAATCTTTGGCAAGGTACTCACCTGACCAAAGGTGAAGTCCATCAAAGCCATAGGAATACAGGTCATCCCCAACACCGTTGCCTCCCCATCCTTCTCCGCCTCCAGGGTATGGAGCATAGCCTGAGGAAGAGGCCCAGCCCACCCGCAGGTGTGTGGGCTCTGCTGTTAGGAAGGGGTCCACCTGGTCGATAATGAGCTCGAAGTACCACTTTTTGTACTGTGCTGAGCCCTCAGCGACTCCCAGGAAGATGTTTGGTCGAATACTGAAATTAAACATGGGACAGGGGGCATTTACTGACTTAAAAACTGAGGAGAGCAAACCAAACCAGACCAGAGGAGGCACTGGCCCAAGTAAACCAAGGGCAAGAGCAGTTCTGTGGTTTTCATGTTGTTCTAAAGCACAAAAAGCTTGGAGCCTCCAACACTTGATCAAGTTCTTAGGAAGGTGTCAGGATGACATTAATTCCATTACAAAATACAGAGCACCTCACTCCCTTTAAATGTTCCATTCAAGGTAACCAACGTTTACTGAGGGTCAGCTATGGGTAAAGATGCCGAAGATGTCATGTAGAGCTGCACAGTTACAAACCCTTGTATCTTACTGTAAGTGAAGGAAATGACTTGTTCCATCTTCCGGTAAATTGGTTTAATCATCCCTATTTTCATAACAGCAGCGTTGTCACCCAAGCATTATTAATAACAATGGCCTTTTGAAAGCATTAAGAGGTCACATTAGAAAAGATCCGGGCAGAGAAGACAAATACTGCATAGTATCAGTTACGTGGGGACTAAAAACAAGTTGAACTCAAAGAGACGGAGAGTAGAAAAGTGGTTGCCAGGGGGCTGGGCTGTGGGAAGTGAGGAGCAGGGAGACTAGGAAGAGGGGGTAAAAGGAGACAAACTTTTAGTTATGACTAAGGTCTGAAGATCTAATGTATTAACATGGTGACTATAGCTGATGACATTGTATTGCGTAATTGAAATTTGCTAAGAGAGTAGAACTTAAATGTTCTCACCAAAAAAGAAAAAAAAAAGGTAATAGATGTGCTAACACTTTGGGGAGAAGCCTTTCACAATGTGTACGTATATTGTATATATGTCGAATCATCACTTTGTATGCTTTAAACATCTTACCATATTGTGGTCAATTATACTTCAATAAATCTGAAAAAAATTCAGCCTAGATGACAGGAAAGAATTGGAGGAAGAAATCATTCTTAGGCAACATTCTTAAGGGCCGGAGGTTTTAATGTATCCAGCAAAATGGCTAAGAGCTTGTGACAAAACCCCTGGAGTTTTTCTGAGGTGTCCGCTGATCTGGGTGGGGTCATGTTCCATTTTGTGTGGGAGGGGAAACCAGCCTGGTACCAAGAAGAAACGTTTGTGTGGATGGCTCAGGTCTGCTGGCTGCTCCATGCTTCAGAGGGGAGGGTCTCCTCTCACCATGGTATATAGATTAGAAAGCGGGCCTTGGTGGAAAGTTACTGAAGAACCTTAGGCCTGCCTAGTCCAGGCCCAGTGAGTTCACATGACTATCATGTGGCCACACGTATGGACCAGCCACCTAGGTTCTGCCTGGGCCTGTACTTTCCACCCTGACCTTCACAGATACTCCTGGGGAAATGACCATGAGCCAGAGCATACAGTAAATCATGGTATCAACACGGGACATCTAATCTATAAGAGATTTTTAGAAAAAAAGTTGGTGTATCAAACTAAAAATAAAGCCATGAAGAAGGCATAAGATAGATGTGTACTGATGTTTTAAGTAAAACATGACAGACCACTTCTGGCTGAACTCTTCAGGCTTTGGGTGGTATATATACACTGGCCCTGGGCTCTTCAGGTTTTCACCTGAACAAGTGCCAAAAGTGGATGTGGTACTAGGCCCTGAACCAGGCCATGAAAAGGTACACATTTGCCTGCTCTCATCTTATGCACCAGAATCATCACAGAAATAATGGGTGGGTGGCTTTGGAGTTCAGATCAGCCCCCTTCCTTCCCTGTCTGGAGACCAGATGCCCCTTTTGGAGTCATGATGGTGGCCTTACCTCGTCACGTCGTTAATCAGCCGCGTCTGCAGCAGCAGGTTTCTCCGGGGCAGCAGGTTGTCGCAGATGAGGTTCTGGTTGGTTCTCACTGCGACCCCATTGCAGAGACAGAGGGAGCACAGCACATCCAGAACCTGCAGTGGGACACACCGCCAGGCCTTAGGACCTGACAGCCTGGACACAGGAAGGAAGCAGGCTTGCTGCGGGGTGGGGGCTGGGTGATAGGTGGGACAATGACCTGTTCAGAGTCAAGAAAGCCTGACCCCTACCACCAGGCATAAGTGAGTAATGCCCCAGAGCCTTCTGCCTCTTGGGAAATGAGGCCGGGCTTCCTTCCAGCCTCTGCCCTGGTCTTGTGCACTTTCCTCCAAGGCACACATTTTCAGCTACTGTTCTGTTAATGTGGGTAAGAGTCTGGGCTCTGAAGGCAGACTGCCTAGCTTATATCCCAGCCAGGGCCAGGACTAGGGTGAGGTGAGGCGTCCAGGGCACAAAATCCAGGCACCACTCGCTGGATATGAGTAGGGGCATGGGCTGGAAAGCCCTTCATTGGCCACAGAGAGAAGCCCATGCTCCCCTCTGCACCACGGTCAGTAGGCACTCAGATTCCCATTTGCTAAGGTCCCTCACACAGAGCAGGCTTGGGAACTCAGGTGGCTCAGGTGGGGGTGGTAATAGGGCAGGTTCTGGTTCTCGGGTCTCACTGTGATATTAAATCTCATTAAGATGCCCTATATTCCTAGAAATCCATATTCAAAAACATTTCCCCTGCTCTCCTTCTCCCCTCTAGAGTGATGCCAAACTTGCAAGAGCACAGGTGGCCCTGGCATCTATGAGACCAGCCACCAACTTCTGTTCCTTTTGTTTGCTGGCTGCCCTGGAAGTGGGCACAGCCCCTGGCCTCCTCCACCATGTGCTGCTCATGCCCACCCTGACTCCTTTTTCATCATCCTCTTTCATTCCAGACTCTGTGTTCCTGCCCTGGCAGAGCACACTGTGCTGGGCCAGGCACTGTTCCTTCCTCTCTCCTACAGCCAGTGATGAGGAACAGCCAGGAGTGTGGCAGCTGTACTGAAGGGGAGACGAGTGGCCGCATTTCAGTCTTTCAAAGCGGCCACTGAAGACTCAATGCTTCAAGGGGTTGGATGGCTTCAGATTGCTGGTGGCATTTGTATCCATAATTCTCACAAACCAATTTTCTATGTGATTCCTCAAATGTCAACTTTGTTCCAGATAAACACAAAGCACATTTATGGGACAAGCAGAAAGGACCCCAAAGGTGGTTTTGTGGACTTTCCCAATCACCACTCCATGAAACGTATGCTCAGTGGAAACCCAGAGCTCCATCCAGGGTTCCAGAGGGTAACTTCTCATTCTGAGAGCCACAGATGGCCATGAAATTAAATACTTATCATCTGGCCTATCACACATTTTCATCTGTTTTGCCTCTCACAGCCTAGGGAAAGCAGAGCTTAATCTGGTACAACAGACCAGCAAAGAGAAAAAGGGCTGTGTGAAATGCACACAGCCTAACAGTATCTCATCCACAAATAGCAGTGCCATAAAGAAGTGTGACACCACACAGGCTGTTTCAGCAGGTGTATCTTTGGATATAATGGGCAGTGGGGAAACACTTCCTTTTCCAGAAAAGTTTAAATGGGTTCTCTTGAACAGGATGGGGGACACACAGTCACTGTGCCTATAGGTCATCTGTACTTTCTGATGAAGAAATAATATCTCAGCGATCTCTGGGATGTGTGGCTTGTTGTGGCAGTTACTGCTGAGTGAGTCACCAGGTTCTGTTTTCCTTTTCATCCTGGGCACACAAGAGGATACATTCCCCAGCCTTTGTTGCAGTTATGTGAGGTCATGTGACTGAGTTCTGGATAATGAAAAGTAGATACCTCACTTACAGTGATGTCCTGGCCCTAAAAACCCGCACAGTCCTTTGTGCACTGTCTCTCTTTCTAGCTGATTGTAGCTATCCAAGGAAGGATGATAAAACCCAAGGGCCTCCTTTTTCCAAGTGTGATCCACCTGGGAGCTTGCCAGAAATACAGATGCCCCTGGACCTACCAGATCAGAGCCTTCATTTTAATAGCAATGCTAGGAGATCTGTAAGCACATTACAGTTTGTGAAGCCCTGTCCTAGGGGATGGGAAGCTGCTAGATGGAAGGAACCTGTGTCTCTGAATAACCACACAGAGTGGAGCCCTCCCAGGGACTGGCTTCAGACTGAGACAAGTTCTGTACATGTATGCGAGCTTCCATCATTCCAGGAGAGATGGGAGAGGATTCTGGCTCTACTCTGTCATTCCTTTTACTCATTTCTTACACTTGTAACAGACGTGTATGAAATGCCTGCCATGTATAACATATGAGCTCGGCACTATAGGGATTGCAAAGATGATCCCTGCTGTGAAAGAACTTGGCATCTATGAGAGAAATATGCATGTACACAAAACCACAATAAAAGGCAGAGTGGAACCACCAGGGAACAGAGTGCAAGTTGTATAGGATCAAGGAGAGACCATATCCAACTAGAATAAGAAAAAGCTTCATGGAAGTGGCATTTGAACTAAGTTTCGAAGGGTGGGTAGAATTTTTGTGGGTCCTAAAAAAGTAGGAGGGATCAAGGGGCAGAGTGCATTCAGAAAATGGGGAGTGGGCAGTGTACCCCACTTTTTTCTCTTTCACTCCAAAGATTGTGTTCTTTCCCTCTAACTTGTTTATCACAAACTTGATCATGCTTCAGATGAGTGGTAGTGCTTTCCATGGGAGGGACAGAGGTGGCAATTGCAAACTTTTAGAGAGAAAGGGAAGGTCTACTCATTGCCAGTACAGCTACTCTCCACTCTTTAAGCATGTGATTGCAGGGGGCATGGTACTGAAAGGGGTATCTCAAACCAATAAGACAAACAAACTTTTTTAAAAGAAAAATGTCATGACTCTGAAGACCATCTTCATGGACCCTCAAACATCAGTCTGAGCAACCCAAACTTATATGAAAATGCCTTCTAATTGCGAATTCTTCACAACAAAGATTTTTGTATTTACATAACTATAAAAACAAGGACACAAATGAAACATTCTCACAGAACATGTGGGCCATGAAGAACATGTTCACAGACTTCAGCTTGAGAAACCTGGAAGGAACATTAAACTTGGAGTTGGGAGACCTAAATTCTGGTCCTGCTCTGTCATTCATTATTCCCATGGCCTCTGGGAAATTGCTTAACATCTCAAAGCCCACGTCCCAGCCTTGTTACTGCCTCTGTCAAGTGAAAATATTAACAGTACCACTTCATGGCATCAGAACGAGGACTAAAGAAAATGCATGTGAGCACTGAGAATAGTACCTGGCATTTGTCAAAGGCAAAATAAATGTTAGCTACCACCATCCTCATTATTACTGTCACCATCGTTGGAGGAGCTGGGAGGTGCACTGTGGCTCTAAATTTCTGTATCTGTTCTGTCACTGTCTTCATGGAAAATTAAGTGAAGGGGCTGAGACACCTAGGACTGCAGAAAACAGAGCTGCCTGGATGGGGAAACATTTCTTGGGCGTTTTCCAAGCAAAGATAAAGTATTACAGTAGCAGTCTGGCCTGCACTCCGCATATTCTTTGCAAAGCTACCACACATACCCCTCCTGATGATTTGATGCCAGACTTATCCTTGAAAATATAAGTTATCCAATGGAATAATCTCTCAGAGTGGAACTAAATTCACAGCAAGCCAGCCATCACCAAAATCTATCCAAAGACAAAAAGGGGACTCCTTCAGCAGACTCTCTGAGTTACACAACCATATCGCCTGAACTTTGACATTACTAGAATTGCTCAGACAGTGCCTTGGCTCTAGAAGATTAAAGACTACTCTGCTACAGTGTCTGGGTAACATCTAAGATGAGTTCTTGATTTCTAGCAAACTACCTCAGCTTATTAGGCCTCAGTTTTCTCAACTGTAGAATGGGCAGAATAGTCATCACCTTGCTGCCAAGGGACATCCATTAAATGCCTTGTGGCTTTTGGCTAAAAGATGCCCTAACACTCTGGTTTTTATTAAGTGCATTATGTGGTGCTATCATAAAGAAGTCCCAGGGACAATGACGTCAACTGATGTGACAGCAGCTTTCCCGCCAAAGGGCTCCTCTTGACATCTGCATGCAGCTCATAGCTCAGGCAATGCGTTACTTGGGTACTTAACAATTATTCTCATTATACTCCACAGGGGGAAGAACCATGTTGAAACACTGAGAAGCTGAACTGAAGTTGGAACCTCATGCCTGCTTTTGATTTACCACATTTGGGAAAGCAATTACAGATCCCACATATTTCTTTCTATTCTTTGCCAAGCAATTTCACAGATGCTAAGGACCATGGCATTTTTTTTTTAATTTCCTGAGGGTGAAACATATCATCTAAGCAGTGCTGCAGAGCCTCCTTCTCCTGGACCCCCTGAGATGTACTTCATATATGCAGTGCCCCCAGATGATGGCAAGCAAAAGAGGGCAGTGATCAAGCTGAGTTCACTCCACTCTGCAGGATCCCAGCTGCTGTCCCTCATGCCCGTTCATGCCATCTGCTCTTGGAATACACTCCCTCAACCTTTGAGTACCCGTCTAATTAGTCAGTGCAGCAATCTCATGTATGAGGGGCAGATGTTGAAGGGTCAGGGTAAAACATATTTTAATAGACTTTCCCCAAAAACCACTGTGTCTTTAGAAATGTAATTCCACAAAAATAGATGCAGAACTTAAAAGAGACTGAAAAACAAATGGATACGGCATTCCACTTTAGTAAGTGAAGTGTCTCCATTTTACAGATGAAATAACTGAGGCCCGAAGTCACACAGCTGTTGTATATCAAAGGGAGAGACCCACAGCTTCAGTCCTCTTGCTGGCTCCTGCAGACTCATTTACTTCCCTTGGCTTGACTCACCATGGTAAAGCTAATTTCATTTAATAACAAGACTTTCTATGTTGCTTTTATCTGATTTTTGTAAATCTTCTTCACACAGCCAGCATTAGCTGTTGCTCTGCTAAGCTCCCAGATCCCAGGGGTGGGAGTGAGGCCTGCAGCTGGCTGTGTATAGACTCCAGCCAAGTGCCTCCCACAGTCTGCTTGTGTTGAGGGCTAATGATGGTGAGCAGGACTACTTGGGAAGTTGGCGGAAATGAAGGGAGACCATCCAAGGCCAAGTGTGACTGACTGACTGGCTTGTAGTATCTCCCAGGCAAGGAAAGATCTTTCAGAACATGTTTCCCAAGGGTTTTTCAAAAAAATATAAATCAAAGCCAAGAAGGAGAGCAGGCAACATACGCTTGATAACACACAATGGTTACAAAGTGGCTGGGAGGAAAAGCCATGTAAAGTCAGCCACCAACCCACCTTGTGGTTCCGCCCGTGCTTATCCAGCAGGGAGATGATGGACTTGATGTGGCCCTCTGCTATCAGGTTTAAGGCTTCTGGGCTTTCCGTCAGGATGCAGTGTAAGACTTCCAAGATACCTACGTGAATGCCACAAAAGTCACTTGGACATATATTAGCCTTCTGAACTGGCCATAACTTTGAAACCTGAGAATGAAAAGACCATCCTGAGGGGAGAGAATATCATCAGTTCTCTGAATCTATTACATATTTCCAGCCAGACGAAAGATGCAGTCCTCTTTTGTAGACTTCAGGAACCTCTGAGGGCCAACTGGTCTGTAATTAGAGGTGAGTTTTATGCAGCACTAACTACGCTCCCCTTTTCCTGGGCAAAGACATAATACTTCTATGTCAAAATATAGAAAAACAGCTGTAAAGTGGAATTGTTAACTTGATCAAATCAAGCAATACTTAAATAAAAATAGAAAAAATAGATTGCCAGGTTAGTATAAATTCTAAAGGTCTTTCAGGTAATTTAGACAATATTTGAAGTGTTTTTCAAATAAGAGTTTATTTGGAATTACCCCAGAAATTATTTTTATTTTAGATGTCCTTTTTACTTTATTTTAGTATCAAATTATGAACTCACTAAAAAATGCTCTTTGCCTTTGCCCCCTTTTCTTGGCACACTGGATGGTTTTCTGTATTAAGTGAAGGCTTAAGAACAACTAACTGGTGCCCCAACAGCCTGGCAACACCATGATGAAAATGCAAGGGAAGAAGTTAGCCAGCACCTTCACTGGCTTTAATAAAAAAATTCCTCTTCGTTCTGTTTTTCCCCGAGGTTTTTGTAAATTGCCCTGACATGCAGTCTGGCCCACGGGAGGAGATACCGAAGAAAAGAGAGGCCTGGGAAGACATGTGTAGGTGGACAGTCCTGGGGAAGCCTTCCCTTGGCCTGTCTTGTCCAAGCTCCTGCCACCTCTAGACAATGAAAACAGCATCAAAGCCTGTCAGCTTCCCAGCGAGGGCCCATGCCTGTCATGCTCACTCATCTCCGAGGAAGCCAACCACTGAGCTCCATGGCATAGTCACTTGGTCACTTACCAACAATGACTATGCTCTTGGCTCAAATTCTCTGTGAGTCATGAAGGGCTCTGGACATGATGTCAAGGGTGACTCAGAGGGTGGAAGGATCATCATTTCCTCTTATTCCACAGTCATTTTTCAGTCCTGCTTCTAACCCAAACTGTTAGGAGGACTGCATCCAGAAAGAATTTAGATTTAGAAAAGCAGAGAGAGAGAGTCCTGGTAGCAGTCAGAAGGAGATCGGGACCCTGGGCCGGGGGCCATTAGAGGATCCAGGGGATGAAGATGAAGGCACAGAATGAAATGTGAAACAAAGGGGGAGACTATTAAAATCGGGTTGGAATTGTTAAATAAAGTTATAGGGGTGCCAGGAAGATTTAGCTTTTAGCTGTTGTTGTTGAAATAATTATTTGTTTGTTTGTGGTCCAAGGGAACAAAGAGTTATTCAAAGATTCAACCATGTCTTCCTTTTTACAGAAAGGAGAAAATAAAAAGACTACCTTCTCCATTGTTTTCCTGTCAATTCTTACCTGAGGAAGATTCTAGTCTGTCCAATTTGCTGATTAGCCAGTCAAGGTTATTGGAGAATTGAGCGCAATTGTTTCTGTTTCCACGGATGAGGGCAGCTGTGAACAAAGAAATATCTGATTGTGTACAGGTTAAAGGATGCAATGATGGGCATAAGAAGTTGGGAAGTTCTTAAATATACTTCAGCTACTTAACAACTAGAAGAAATGAATAACAATCTTCCCCTCCTTAGCCCTTTGATTCAATCCTGTTTCTATATCAAGAAGAGTATAAATCTAGCCTTCACTCAAGTACTTCCAGAGAATCTGCTATGCACCAGGCACCTATCTAGTCACTAGAAATAAAGCAGGGGGAACGAGACAGCAGAGTTCCTGCATTCACGAAGCAGGAGAAAGAGACTATCAACACACAAATTAATAAAATTACTTCAGATGATGACAAGCAAAAAAAAAGTATCAGCTTAGTTACTGGCTAAAAAACTCAGTTTCTCATAGTGTTTTCTTAAACCTAGCTAGAGATTTGCTATTTTTCGGTGTTAAAAGAAGGATCCCAAATGAACACAGCTGGATGAGTTGGTTAAGTTAGTAGGTGAGTAATAACAAACATGAAACTCTAAAAATATCTAGAGCACATTAGTGTAAGACAGTGGTTCCTAAAGTTTGGTCTCTTGGACCAGAATGTCAGTGTCACCAGAGAACTTGTTAGAAATGCAAATTCTCTGGCTTTATCCCAGATCTACTGAATCTGAAGCTCTGGGGATGGGGCCTAGCACCTGCATTTTAACCAGCCCTCCATCTGCTTTTGATGCCTGCTCACACATGAAAAAAAATGGTAGGTGGTATTGCTAAGGGAGGGAGGGAATATGCTGTGATTAGATTTTCAAGAATCCAGAAAAGAAGTAACCTTCCATCCATAAGCCCACTGCAGATATAACTCTGGAACAAGTCCCTCTAAATGGAGTGTGCTCAAGTAGCTCGTTTCTGATGCTGTTGATTTTCAGAATGATGTTTGTAAGGTGTTCGGATAAGGAAAGGTCTACCTCAGGACCTCCGCTTTGTACCTCTGCAGTTAGTGGAGGGCAGAATTGTTCTGAGCTCCCAACCTGCTTTTCAGGTCAGCCAAAGCTCAGGGAGTCAGTCTGCCTAGGCTCAAGCCCTAGTTCCACCACTTGCAATGTGTGACCTTGAGCATTTCTGAGCACCAGTTTCTTCATCAATAAAATGGGAATAATTCTAGTACCTACACCTCAAAATGTTGCTCTGAGGATCAAGAAGAGATATGCCGCACTTTGGCTCCCAGAGCTCAATAAATGTTAGCTATTACCATTATAGTAATTATTACTGAGTTTGAGCTGTATCATCACAGACCATCGGAGTTGGAAGTTACTTTACAAGATCACACAGCACCACAGCAGTCCAGTCAATCTGATCTTTGACATTGAGAATAGGTCTAACCTGACATCTCTGGGCTCCCCTCTGGCTTGCTCTCAACTTCCTATGGACTTCCTGTAATGGGTCATATGCTTCAGAGCAAAGCCCTGAAATGCTACCTTGTCACCATGTCTGAGCAACTACTGGTGGCCACATCCTTGCAGAGGCCAGTATGTTTACTGCTGTCTCCCTCCCATGGCCTGTCAGCCTGGGCCCATGTGGGGACACTGAATACAGCAGGCACCAGAATGTGACCACACATTCAGTGTCATGAGAAGAAAGGCTGGGTGCTGAAACATCCTTACTCACTGCCCTTTTTCCCACCAAAATGAAATAAGGAACAGACCAAAGAAGCAGGAATCATGACTGACCAGTAAGTCAACAGTGAAAGGATGCAGAGTTAAGAGAGTAACCATCTGTAAAGTGCAGGAGGTATAAGACTAGAAATGGAGGTACCATGGACATGTCCTGGTCTCGTTCCTTCACGATGAAGATGAGGAACTGAGGCTCAGAGAACGTTAAGTCACTGCCAAGCGTTCACAGGCAGTTTAGGCAAAATGGTCACTATCTGTTTCCACTGGCTGCTGACTCCTTGCTCTCTAAGTTTGGAAAGTACAATAAGCTACTAGTTAACAGAGTGATAGTCAGGGTTAGAATCAAATGGTGAAAAGAGGCTTCCGAGAAATGAAGCTAGAAGACCATTATGGTTTGTCATGTGGAAATCCCACAGAGACCACCCTTGGAAAGTTTCTCAGGGAGAGGGTTGTGCACCTACTTACCCAGCAATTTGTACAGGAGGTTCAGAATTTCCTTCCAGGCCATGCCACTCTCTTCCCTTGCGATCCCTGCAAAGTGTGCAACGCTGTTGTAGATGTTTAAGCGGTCAATGCAATTTAACACAAGCGCCAACATTCCCTGTGAAGGCAAGTGGGTGAAAGAACAAAACTGCCTGATTAAGAAGGTGGACCCCTTTTGTTCTTTCCCTCCCACGCTAAGCAACTTTTAAAGCTAATAATAGTGACAGGCAAGTAGGCCTTCATGGTGCCAGCTTGGGTTTTGTTTTTCTCCTCCTAAAAACAATATATGCATTTTTGCACCTCACAGACCTAAAGAACCTCCATTTTGGGAATGAGTCAGCAGTCTCCTCTGACAGGTGTGCCCCACATGTTTAGTCCAAACCACGGGCACATTGGGGAAGTAGGAGTGTGAATGAGCCTCACAAATGCCCTCTTGGTGCCCGGTGTGAAATGACTCTGATTCACCCAGAAACAGCTCTGGGTATGCTGCCTGTTTTTCTGTTAAATCTCAAATATGTTCAAGAAATTCCACTCAGCTACACAAAGTGGAATCTAAAGACAATACCACGAAAAGAGTATTTTCAACTACTGTTCCATTTAAATTACAATACTATGCCACCCAGTTAAAACATCTGCGCCTAGTCATCCTCAAGGAGATGTTGTTCTGGAAGCCCACAATGCATAATGTCCCCAGAGCCAGCCTGCTTAGATCACTGGACTGCCTGAGCAGGGATGAGTCTATATTCCACGTCACTAACTTTGGAAATGACCAAGGGACAGGCTCTGTCCCCAGGAATGAGGGACTACAGGACACCATAGGAGTATGACCATGGCCTGTTAGTGCCAAATCACCATGTCCAGTTTCAGAGAAGGCCTGTGATTTGTCTCAGGTCACACACAGCCAAGGATAGAGCCAAACTAGGGCCTCCTGAGCTCCAAGTTAGTGTTTCCCTCACATCCAGGCCCCATCCCTAGTGACTCAGATGCTCGAGTTCTCTCTAAGGCCCAGCATCATGTATCTCTCAGACCAGCTCCTCAGCCATTTCTGATATGGAACCTGGGCATTTGTATTTTTCAAATAGGTTTCCTAGGTAATTTTGACCTCTTCTGAAATTTAGGGATCACAGCCAATGCCGTGGTCTAATAGCCGAGATTTTTTGAAAACAGATTTTGGATATATGTGTGACACTGACACTTTAACATGTAATGTGATTTGAATGTGCCAATGTACATTGCAACCACGTACACTGTTGTATAACCTTCCCTGGCAGCTGACAGGGAAGGTCAGCTCCCAGTGACTCCTTTTCTTACCAGCTTCCTCTCTTTCATGTGCTCTATGTCTCTTTCATGCATGGAGACAGCTAATTGCAGTCACAGGGATATTTCAGCTGTGGACACAAGGAGAACCTCAATTTTTAATTCTTTGGACTTACCTCTTCCTTGAAAAGATTCTGTCTGTTTTTGAGTGAGCGGAGCTTGTTCTGTTTATCTTCATGCTGCATCTCTTCCTCTGGGGGCTGGAAGTAGGTGATCAAGTCCTGCAAGGTCTGCAGGACCTCTTCTATCGGCAGGGTGATGGGGGCAGCTGTGCGATTGTTTCCACTGCAAAACCCGAGATGGACACAGCTCAGGCACTGGGCCTCCAGTAGGGACCCCAACAAGCAACCACCAGGTCCTGGCTCCCCCTGCTCCCACACTGGGCACAACACACCACCTCCTAAGGTAGTTGCTGCCTAGACTGACATTTGCCAACTAACAGAGCAACAGAAGAGAATGTTCTGATTCAATTTTAAAGCCACTTCATAAATAAAGTGAAATGGCCCCTGGCTGTCTGCCACGCTTTTTCCTTTTTGAATAAGAACATCTCCTAAAATAATACACTTATTAACCCATAGTTCTTTTACACTATTACATGTTCTTCTGGGGATAGGTTAAACCTAAGGCTGGGAGGGTGTCTGTCACTTGTCTCCTGCTCCATATACATCTTTGTCTTCCCTCTGTCTCTCTCCCTGTGTCTTTTTAATATCGCTGCTTATGTTTTTCTCTAAGGTTTCTATGGGTGTGTATGCACACACCTGCTCCCCCCACCATTTGCTGATATCTCCAATCTCTGTGTCTGTCTTTCTCCTCCAATTCCACGGTGGGCCCTCCCTCTGTATCTCTACCCTCATCTCCTTCTCAGCATCCCCCCATTTCTCCACATCCTTCCTCTCTTCCTCAATGCCCCCCTTGTTGGTGCCCCCCCCCACTACTTCCCTCTCATTCTCTGTTGTTTTCCTCCTTATCTTGACTGTGTCTCTGTCTCTCTGACTCAGTCATTTTTTTAAGAAAGTCTTGTCACTAATCTTCTCAATACTGAGAGATCACAAACCTCCACAAATGGTGAAATGAGCCCTCATTTTCTCATCCCCTTGAGGGTTACACTGTGGGCCTCTCTGAGAATAAAGGGTAAGAAGAGGTAGGGGAAATGGAACTGGCACATAGAGAAATGCATCATCGGTCCCGAGGGACTGGGAGTTGATTGAATGTATAAATTGTCAAGTTTTTTCCTAGAGTCAATTTCTAATGAGTTCCCTTTGTGTTTACAGTGCATCTGGTTACTTATTAATCTGGACACATGAGAAGAAAAGATGGTTCTCTAGGTCTAAACAAAGGCTGAACAAGTCTTGAAAATACTCAGGTTATAAGGTGACAATAATTTTAAATTTGCGTAAAAAATGCCAGGTGTACACAACGAAGGCAGAACACTATAAGTATTTCTTACTCATGTGTGGTCTGGCCCATGGTGGGTGCTCAGGGAGTGTTCTGCAGTGACCGTCTGAGATATTATTGGGCAAAGACAGCAGGGAAGGGGGCTGTCATGAGGTGAAGGTTTGGGATTACAAAACCCAATCAGAAATGCTTTCCCAGTTCTAGATTCAGTGAAGGGATGAGTACATTTCCCTTAACATTTTGGGTCCAGTTAAAGAGTTTTTTTTCTCTCTTTCCTTCTCTAACATTTTGAGTTTATTAGACCCACTGATGGCAGTTAAGTAAGCAGTGTTTCTTCAAGTGATAAGAAAAGATGAAAAGGAGATGTTCATTGGCATTTTTCTGGCTTTAAAAAGCTACTCTGCAGGGGGCTGGAAAACCCAGGTCACAGGCACTGCCATTAACTAATGAGGCTTGAGTGCCTCCTAGCCTCTTGTTCCACAATTTTACATCTGGAAAATAGGCAGGCACACTCTGTACAGCCAGGTCCTTCAGGGATAATTTTTTGTTCTGTGATTTTCATTGCTGATCACTTCATCTTGCTCCCTGACAAAACGTCAGTACAACAGTCCTCCCCGGGATGGAGGCAGATCTCTCAATGCCTTCAATATACAACACATACCGCATGCCTGGCACTGGGGACAGTGGTGAGAATAGACATGACCTCTGAATGGCCTAATGGTGCTCACCTTCTACTCTAGAACCCTGGGGAGGAGATGCAGAGAGACAGGGGCAAAATGCCATTTGAATGCAGAACTAACTGCGTGGGCACCTATCTTATCCCAACTTTTTTGACTCTATGGTTGCTACTTCACTACATTCTCACTCTTGGCCAAGGGTTTCTTTTGTTAAAGTCAAGTAAGATCTCAGGCAATTCTGAACATCTGCCACACTGTAACCCTCACACATTTATAAATTGTTTCCCTCCTCAGTGTAAACGCAGAGGTCAGCTGGGCAGCTATCGCCGCTTCAGCAGGATTTCCAAGACACCCCTGTCTCTTGCTCTGCTTGTTGGATAGCTCCTGTCCTGTTGGACAGCTCCCAGCGACTGTGCAGAGGATAAAAAGACAGCACAAGCAAACTTGAGCCTTTTCTTCTTTGTTATTCCTTCTTGTTCCTTCCCTATTCATTTAACTTTAATTTGCTCTCCCAGGTGGCCACTCTTCCCTCTGATTTCCATTTGTACATAGCATGCACTGTTGGTTTCTCAAAAGAGAAAGGAGGGGAGAGAATGTAGTTCCAAATTATGTTTTTATCTTTCACCTGCCAGCTCTTGCAAAATTCAAGTACTGTGGCTTTTGCAGCCCCTACCCCTGACACATTGGTTTCTTTTTCATTAGTTGTCCTTTCTTCTAAAAACAGCCTGTGGCTGGAGAATCAAGAATTTCCTCCGTTGAGGGTAGAACTCCCGCAATAATAAAATTGGACAAAATCATCCAAAATAACCCCGTAGAACTCTGGAAATTTACCTAAGGCATAAAACAAATTGAGAACTATGTATTTAAGAAAACAGGGGGAAGTCTATGGTGTTTCAGCCTGAGGCTGTTCACTCGCCTTACCCCAGCTTTAGGGGAAAGAAATTCCAACAGGCCAGGGCAGACCCTGGGTAAAGCCATTCACATGCTCAGGAAGGACTAGAGAGGGACCTAGCTATCTATTCTCTTCTGGATGAACATCAGCCTTCTTTGTGCAAGCAGAAAGTATAATGTTGGACATACTCAAAACTGCCTGAACTTTAACATGTTATCCAACCCACATGGGGAGCAGGCTTGCCTTACAAAAAATACTAAGGGAAGTCCTTCAGGCTGAAAGAAAAGGATACCAGACAGGAACTAGAATCAATGTGAAGAAGTAAAGAGCACTGGTGAAAGTAGTTGTGTAGCTAAATGTAAGACTACATATATGTGCATATGGCAAAAATTATAAAACTGTATTGCTGGGCTTGTAACACATTAAGTTGTGATGTCCATGACAATGTTATCACAAAGGAACAGGGAGAGAATAGAACAATACTGGAGCAAAGTTGCTTTGCTTTACTTGTCAAGTTTATATTAATTTGTTTCACATTAAATACATACTGAGTTGCCTAGAGCAACCACTAAGAATATAACCTTAAAAAGTAGTTAAAAACTCAACAAAGGAATTAAAATGTTACACTAGAAAATATTCAATACAAAAGAAAGCAGTAAGGAAGGAACAGAGGAACCAAAAGGACACAAGACAGGGATCACATAAAAAATGGCAGACATAAATCCAACCATTTGAAAAATTACATTATCTATAAATAGATTACATACACCAATAAAAGGAAAAGATTATCAAACTACATTAAAAATCCATCATACTGAATCCCACCCCAGAGCTGTCTGCTTTTTATCTATGAGCCTGTCTCTATTTTGCATTTAGTGAAAAAGGAAAAAAAAAGGGAAAGAACTCAAGGACACAGACAACAGTGGTGACTGCGGGGGTGGAGAGGGAGTGGGTGCAGATGGAAGAGGGTATGGGGGGATAAATGGTGATGAAAAAAATCCATTGTATGATATCTACAAGACACACTTTGTGGATTCAAGAGGCAAATAGGCTGAAAGCAAAAAGGATTGGAGGAGATATACCATCCAAACAGTAACCATATTGCATACAGGACATTTGGAGTGGCTCTAAAAGTCATACTTTAGGACAAAAATGTTTGTAGAAGAAAAAGGGAGACATTTTATAACTATAAGAGTGAATTTATCAGGAAAATATAGCTATTCTAAATATAAGTACCCAGCTATAGAACTCAAAATATGTAAAGTAGAAATGGACAGAATTAAGGGAGAAATAGACAATTCAATAATAACAGACATTTTAATACAATACCCCATTCTCAATCAATTAATGTAATAAACTAAATTAGTAAAGGACAAAACCACACCATAATCTCAATAGACAAAAATAATTTAACATAATCTAATACTCAATAAAGATTAAATAAACAAACAAACAAATCTCTCAACAAAGCAGGGATAGACAGAAACTTCTCAGTCTCATAAAGGGCATCTCTACAAACCCAGAGCAACCTATACCTAATGGTCAAAGGCTGAATGTTTCCTGCTAAAATTAGGAACAAGACAAGGATGTCTGTTTTCTCCACTTTAATTCCACATGGTAGTAGATATTCTAGGCAGCACAATCATAAAAGTTGAAAGAAAGAAAGAAGGAAAGAGAGAAAGAAGGAAAGAGAGAAAGAAAGAAAGAGGAAAGAATATTCATACTAGAAAGGAAAAAAATCTCTATTCACCTATGACATGATCCTATATGTAGAAAATTCTAAAGTATCCATGCCAAAAAAAAAAGAAAGAAAAAAAACCCACCTCACATTAGAACTAATAAAAATTGCATTAAGTCACAGGATACATGATTCACATTTAAAAAGTTCAATCTTATATACTAGTATTTATGTATATCAGCAGTAAGCAACCTGAAATGAGATTTAAAAAAACAATTCCATCTGTATTGGCATCAAAAATACTTAGGAATAAAGTTTTTAAAAGAAGTGTAAGACTTCCACACTAAGAACTAGATCTTCCTGAAAGGAATTCAAGAAGAATAAATTAATGGAGAGACAATCTATGTTTATGGATTGGAAGATTCATTAGTATTAAGATAAAAGTTCTCCCAAAATTTACTTAGACTTAAATGCAGTATCAATCAAAACACCAGCAAGTTTTTCTTCAGAAATTGACAGATTTACCCCCAAATTTATATGGAATGCAAAAGACCAGGAAGAGCCAAAATAATTTTGAAAAGGAAAGAACTGGAGGACTTGCCTACTTGATTTTAGTATTTACCACTATAAAGCTACAGGAGTC